GGAATGATAGGTTCTCTACTTTACCTAACAGCTAGTAGACCTGACATTGTGTTTTCTGTTGGTTTGTGTGCTAGGTTTCAAAGCAATCCAAAGGAATCTCACTTGAAGGCTGTTAGAAGGATACTTAGGTATCTTGTAGGAACAGCAAATCTGGGATTGTGGTACCCCAAAGGCAGTACCATTGATCTTATTGGATACACAGATGCAGATTATGCTGGTTTCTTAGTTGATAGAAAGAGCACATCAGGTATGGCACACTTTCTTGGCTCTTGTCTAGTTTCATGGGGTTCTAAAAAGCAAAATTCAGTGGCCCTATCCACAGCAGAGTCTGAATATATAGCTGCAGCTTCATGCTGTTCCCAGCTACTGTGGATAAGGAACCAGCTGAAAGATTTTGGTGTTATTTATAAAAGTGTTCCTATTTTCTGTGATAACACTAGTGCAATCAATATTTCAAAGAATCCTGTGCAACACTCCAAGACAAAACACATTGAAATAAGACACCATTTTTTAAGAGACAATGTGGAAAAAGGATTGGTGGAGATGTTGTTTTGTAAAAGTGAAGATCAAATTGCTGATATCTTCACAAAGCCTTTGTGTAGAGAGTCTTTTTGTAGGTTAAGAGTCCTTTTAGGTCTAGTTAGACTTTAGGTATTGGCTTCAATTACTTCCTTCAATGATTGGTTAGAATGGTATTCTCTTGTATAGTGTGTGTACATACTTATGTTGATATCTTTCAAGTGTTGTGTAGATGGTTCAAAATCTCAAAAGGATTGAGAATCATTGTTGTAAGAAACAGGTGAAATCAGGCTGAATTGCCAGAAACAGCGTGACATGGTTCTATACAGGTACCAGCAAAGGGAAACAGCAGACCAGCTCTGATATGTCATCCGATAATATCTTTTATTTTCGGAAGATTACTATAAGATATTTCCTTTTGGAAGGAATTTATCTTATTTCAGTTATTTAATCCCATATAAAAGGCAAACATATCATATGCCTTATTTATAGTTGGTTGAGATAATTATGGTAAAAGATAATTACCAAATTTTTGATTTCAATTTAAAAATATCCTTTACAGTTGCTTTTTATTGGCTCAACTAACTCTTTTCTTTCCTTCTTCTCTCTTTGTGCTTCATTGTTAAAAATATACACTAACCCTTTGTGCAGATCATCAATCATCATCACTCGAAATTCTCTTTCTCTCTCTCGTATGCTTTAAATTCATCATTGTTCATTTGGTTACTGTTCACTCAAGGAACCAGCTCAGTCTCAGGGGGAACATCAGAAGGAAGCATAAATGTCCTTAAGCCCGAAGTTGGAGGAAATTCAGAAAAGTCAGAGTGAAAAGGATGAAATAGAGGTTGTTGGTTATTATGAGGAGACACCCACTGCTAAGACCATGGTACGAAGTAGAATAACTCAATTAAAGAAGTTCACTGAGAAGGTGCAGGAGGAACAGTCCATTGACGCTGTTCCAGGAACCAAGAGAAAAAGGGTACCAGCAAGAACCTCTTTGCTTGATTGATGTGATGCTAGTTTTGCACTCGTTATGCAACAAGGAGAACAATTTTGCACTCGTTATGCAACAAGGAGAACATTCTGAATCAGTACATATCTCTCATGTTTTATAAAAAAAAAAAAAAAAAAAAAAAAAAAAAAAAAAAAATAGAGGAACCAGCAGGTCAGGAAGTGGTTTTGAAACAGATTGGGGAATCACAAGAATATGCTTAGTAATACAATGATTTTGGTTTAAGCAGAGCATGGTGACAAAGATGAAGAGGAATCAGATGATAATACAGAAGATGTTGCAAAGTTTGAGGAGGAGGAAGGGAACGAGAATGATGATGAGGAGTGATGCTGTTTCTGTTCTTGTTTCCTCACCCTCATGTTTATTCTAAAATAACTGATTTTGTTGGTCTGTCTACTTCTCTCCATTCCATGAACTTTCTTTTTGGATGGATTTGGGCTTCTTTGGTTGAACTTTGTTGGCTTGTATGAACTACTAACTCTGCTATGGTATGAACTGTTTGACTAATCTCTTTTTGCAGCATAATGCTTGAATGGTGGTTGATGCCATTGTATGGATAAGCACATTAACTTGTGCACATTGCTTTTACTTGTGGATACTTTTTAATGATGCCAAAAGGGGGAAGTAGTCTGAAGTTGAAGCCTAAGGTTTAGCTAGTTTAGATTGAGTCAGTTTGAGTCTTTTTATTTCGCACTTTCTATTTTCTGTTTAGGGAACCAGTTGGCCTAACTGACTTGTTCCAAAGAGTCTTGAGTCCTTGAAGTTTTTGACGGTTTTCCTTTTGAGCATGTCCACAGGTTCAGGAACTTCAAAAGTTTGTCATCATCAAAAAGGGGGAATTTGTTGAGTCCCTTAGGTTTTGATTGATAGTTTTGAATGATGACAAACAGCTAAGGGAAACAGGTCCTTGAAAGTGTTCGATACAGTTGGGGGAACCAGCTAACATAGAACACTGTTTCCCCAGACAAGTTATTACTTACATGAGTTTTCTTATTGAACTAACTTGTCTTTATACAGGGAACAGTTATATGATAAAAGTGTTATGTACTGGTAGGGAACCAGTATGTAATGTTTCCATGGTTGCTACGTGGTAAAGAAGTCACATACTCTTTATTGTGCATTAACCATGTTACATGTGCAGTAGTTGAGTTGATTCCAAGACTTGGAGCATAGAAGCCTTTCGAAGATATTTCGAAGAAAGATTGTTTGCTCATAATAGAAGTATTCAAGGAAGATTCAAGTCTTGAAGATTACATGAAGAAAAGACGATTTATGCTTTAATATGTTATCTAGGTTTTCATGTAATATGCTCCGTAGTATGCTTGCATGTTTGGGTTATATAAGTGCTTAAAAGTATATTGAAGTATGATATGAAATCTGGTACAAAGTTGGAACAGGTTTCATAACATGTTTCAATTCAGGGAACCAGGTCGGGGAACCAGGTTCACTGTATTCGAGCTGCCGTTTTGGAAAAAGATTTTACAAAAAGATTTTTTCGAAAAGATTATCTTGAAAATATTTTGTGCAGCTGGAAATAAGATGAAATATTCTTGGTTACCTAAAATCTAGGAGTATTTATCTTAATTGATTCTATCTTTGTGATTAAATCAAATAAGATAAAAACTTTCCTAAAATTACATTATATCTTATTCTCTAAGATTGTGTGATTTAAGGAAACTAGGTTTTAGGAATCTAAGCTTATATAAACTCATCTTATTTCACATATTTCGTGTGCCTCTCCAGAAATTAAAAGAGCAATTATTTGAGAGCATATACTTAAGCACTAATCCCATTCATCAAGTCATATACAAGAGCATTCTAGTACTTAAACTTTTTCTCTTAATTAGCTTCGTAGAAGTGAGATCAAAGGAGAGTTTTTGATTCTTGTATTGAGTCTTTAACAAAGGGGTTAAAGGCTGGGTGAGTGTTTGTGAGTTCAAACACATTGGGCTTACGAGTGTAAGTCGAGAGCACACTCGGAGTAGAGTGTGGGGTTTGCTGGTTCCCGGAGTAGGGAACAGCAGAGTGTTCTTTGTCTTTGTTTTTCGGAGTAGATTAATAAAGAACTTAGGATAGGAGGACGTAGGCCTGAGTTGGCTGAACCTCGTTAAATTTGTTGTGTTCTTTATTGCTTTGTTTTATTTCGTTAAATTTGTTGTCTTCTTTATTGCTTATTTATATTCCGCTGCGTACGGGAACCAGCACAACTGGTTCCTCACACATAATCCGAAAAGAAGCAAAATTAGCCAACGATTACTTAACACTCAATTCACCCCCCCCCCCTCTTGAGTGCCCATTGAACCTTCATACTCCAAGTTTCATCTGATATTTGCCCTCGCTTCCATGCACTCTGCCATGCTTCTCTCGGGTTGGACTAGTTCATCTGATAGTTTATATCTTATAGATATTGTTTGGTCTTCTGTCTGGGTAAATATCTGCACAATTTGGGTGAGTGCAGGGATTCTCATCTGGATTCATTTGAAAAGTTCAAGTGATTTATTCATGAGAGAAGAAAGGGTGGGATATTGGAGTGATGATCATGACTTTTGATCAAGATAGCATGACTATATCCCACTCTCCACTTATTAATAATTTTTTATCAATTTGTGTTTTGGAAAGGGGGCCATTTTGGTCCTTATGGATCCAAATTGAGCTAAACTTTGACAAAAAATAATGTAAATATCTCAATTTCCTTGTCATTAATTTTTTAGCAGTGAAAATTGTTCAGGCAAGGTATCAAAGTGGAATTAGTAGAAGAGAAAATTATTAAAATATTGTGAAAGTGGGGTTAGTAGTGGAGAAAATCTATTAAAAGCAACTTCAATGGCAACCTAATTTGACAATTAGCTTGCAATGCCATATAAGCTTTTAAGTTAATTATTATTTTATCTACTTTTTGCTTCAATGACTAGCTATTAGTTTAGTAGTAGTTGTTGGATAAAAAAAATACACAGAAAGAGTTTAATTGGTATAATGAGCATTTTATTTTGACAAGTTTAATTTCCAAGCAAATTAGCTTGGCTTAGCCATGTTAATTGAGTTTTCTAGCTCCAATGGTCAAGCTAATAGTTAGGGAATTATTGAAAATGTAAGTCCCTAGCTACAACCATTGGAGTTGCTTTTAACTATTATTAAAACAAAACATTGCTGACATTGTCTCTCCTCAAACTGTATATGTGTTGCTTTCTTATGAAATTTTTTTCTCGCCCAAAATCATTAATGATGTCTATTTTTGTGTGTGTGTGAAAGAGAGAGAGAGAGAGAGAGAGAGAGAGAGAGAGAGAGAGAGATAAATTCTTTCAACAACTTTAATCTAGTAAATCGAAGTATAGTAAATTGAATAGCAACTGCATTCCTTTATTTTGATTTAAAGATTCACTGTATATACGAATTCTATACTATATACTTCGTATAATTTTTTTTTATAAAAAAAGTGCATCGCATGGGGATAATCTAGTTAATACTATAAAATGATAATAGATTTTTACCAAATATAGAAATATTGCCATTATTATGAAACAAACCTAAAAAGAAAATGTTGTGATTATTATAAAACGAAGGTATGAAGTTCAATTTTTTTTATTTTTTTTTATTTTTTTTATTTGGAAAATTTTACATGGTGCGCGTCAAGGTTTCAATTTTTCTACGTGGAAGACGAATTTGTTTCCAACTTTCTTAAGTGACACCCAAATTTTGAAAAATCAAGCATAGTGGCCTTTTCTAAGTTTAATGGCTAACTTTTTTTTTTATTTTTTGGTTAAAAACCACCACTCAACCATCCACCTAGCCACCAGCGAACTACACTGCTGCCTGTTGTCGGCGCTCCCAGATCTCTTCCCCCGGTGCCATCTTGACCTCCCTCTCTTCCCCTTCCCTAACCACTGTAACCTGACCCTAACTAGGCGAATCTCGTAACCAAAAGTCCCAACCTCCACCCTTCGAAAAACCCAATAATTCGTTGGAAAAATCCGGTCGCCCCTCCTTTACACCTCGATAAGGTCGAAGTTATGGGTTTGTGTGTGTGGGGAGGGGCAACCGGAATTTTCCATCTTCTTTTTGGGGTTTTTGATTGATGGGTGTTAGGATTACGAAATTGGTTAGGGAAAGGGAAGGGAGGGAGGTCGGGGAGGTGCCGACGCCGAGGGAGAGGGTTTTGGGTGCGCCGGCGCGGGGGAGGGGGTTGTGGCGCGTCAAGGGCAGTGAGTACATCAGGTGTCGGCTACCGTGGGTGGCTTTGCTGGTGGTATTCTTTCTTTCTTTCTTTTTTTTTTTAAAAATTTTTAATTTTTAAATTTTTTTTAATTTTAACCAAAAACTATAAAAGTTAGCCAAAAAATCAAAAAATGGGCACAATGATTAATTTTTAAAAACCTTGATGCCACTTAAGATAGTTGGAAATATAAAAAAGTTCTTCCACCTAGAAAAATGAAATCCTTAAACCTACCATGTATAATTTTCCTTTTTATTATTTTTTTTTTAAAAACAATATATCCCATAAAATAAACCATTTATAAAAAGTACAGTAAAATAAAATAAAGTGTACTCTTTACTTGCAAATGTCATCACAGTTTAGATTCTACTCAACTAAATTTTCACTACCATGCGCCCCATGTCTTTCCCCTCTCTCCGCCCAACCTCACCACAAATCTCAACCCCCCAACTTTACAAAAAAATTGACTCATATTTTTTTCCTTTTTCACCGGAAAAAAATCACTCATTCTAAGAAAAAAAACAAAAATAACTAAACCATCCCTAAAAAAAAAAAAAAAATTAATTAATTCTCTGAATTTTATTTTGGGTAATCTAAAATGAAATCAAGTTGGGAATTTATCACAAAATCACGTGCGGATCGGTGCAATTAATGCTAATATATCCTTATTTTTTCTTTATTTAGCTTTTTATATGAGAGATTGTTATATATTCCTAGGTGTACCGTACACCGACTAACCCTAAGGTTGATTTTTGTTTTTAATTTGATGATTAGTTAAAAAAACAATCATCAAAATGAGAACAAAATATTTATGGGTATACGGTGCAACCGGGTGTATATAACAAATTCCACTTATACACGGAGTCACAGAGTATATATTTATCATTTTCCTTTTATTTTTATTAAATTTTCTTTAAAAAAAAAACCACCTTCCTTGTGAATAATCTCACCCCAAAAAAGCCACTACCTTGACCCATCACCCCACCTCCATTTGTTACACTAACATGCGCCATCACCCTCCTCACCTTCACCCCAACCCACACCCCATTTTCTCTCTGCTCACTTCCATCCCCACCACCATTACAACCATGCCTCCTTCTTCCTCCTCTTCTCCTCTATCCAAACCCCGCAAACCATCTTCCTCTTCCTCCACCTCCTCCGCCGTCAACCACCACTCCTCCACCCTCTTCTGCCGGCACCACTCCCCCTCCGCCACCGCCACCCTCGATCTCCTCATCCTCATCCTCGTCCTCTTCTCCGGCACCTTCCTCCTCACTTCCTACTTCTCCTACATCTTTAACTCCCTTTCTCTCCTCCTTCCTCCCCTCTTCATCTCCCACTCTTCTCTCCTCCACCAATTCCCCCTCATTTACCTTCTGGGTTTTCTCCTTTCTTTCGCACTCGTTGCTGTTTCCTTCGAGATTTGCTGTTGCGGGGGATTTGGGTTTGGGTTTCGATCTCGCAAATGTCATAACCCTAAGTGTAAAGGGTTGAAGAAGGCTCTGGAATTTGATTTGCAGTTGCAGACTGAGGATTGCTTGAAATCGGGGACGAATGATATTGATAAATTGCCGTGGAAAGGTGGGACTGAGTCTAATCCTGATTATGAGTGTCTTAGAGCTGAGTTGAGGAAGATGGCACCGCCTAATGGTCGTGCTGTTCTTCTTTTTCGTGCTAAATGTGGGTGCCCGATTGCCAAATTGATCGGTTGGGGACCTAAGAAAGGACGGAAGCATAAAAAGTAAGTGAAATTTTCTTTCTTTTTGGTTTTTGATCATGGGTTTTTGTTTTAGATGTTGAAATTGTTAGTAATTGGTTAGTTGACTATTGATATAATTTTGGGGTTTTTGATGGATTGATAGAATTGTGTGCCGAATGATTATTTGGTTAGTAATTAGAGTTTTGCAATTGGAATTATATTGAATGAATTTGAAATATATGTTGCTGTGGTTGTAATAACATATTGAGTATTATTGAATTCTCTATTGTTTGTGTTCAATCAATCAATCAAAGCCTTAATCCCATAAGTGGGGATTCTTTGGGGATTATCCATTCATGATTGGCCTGCTTTTACGAATCAGTATGAAAAAAGCCAAGAAATTTGTGTCATTACTTGTGTTTTGCTTTTTGATGAATATTGTACTGTGGTAATTCAATAGTTACATATTTACTTCTGAGCTTATCTAGTTCCAATTCATTTGGTAACCTGTAGAGTGGTGTAGTTTAATTATAGGGGTTTCCATTAGTTGTATTGTTATCTCAAAAATGCGGTTAAGGCTCAGAATGTAAAGCTTCTAATAGGTCCGGCCAATAAAGTGTTGCACTACCCTAAAGCAATGCTTTGGCAATTTCATCACTGAAACTATCTGCTATCAGCTTGTTGGCTTAAGTTTTGTTAGCCCATGTAGATTAATGACAGTAGGATTGATGTTTGGATTCTTCATCATTATATCCATTCTACTTGCAGTCGTTGCAGAGAGGGTGTAGTGGAGTCAGAGAACTAACGTATTTTGTTCAAACAATCTTATCATTTGAATAGTTAGTTTTTAGCCTTCTGTTTCTGCCTCCAAAATACCTAACTCATTCTATGTGAACAATCCCCTCCCTCGTGCCCTCTAATGAGACCAAGAAATTCATTTTATTTTTTGTTTGAACTACTAACTGGCGTATCATTTCTATTTATATTACTTGGTGTGGTCGGTTGATAGTAAAACAGAGTTGCAGAAACAGGTTACAGAGCATATTGTACTTGACAGAAATGGTGCTCAAGTAAAGTTGTTTGTTGTTGATTGGTTTTGACTGACTACCGGCATTTAGGGCTATTGTGCTGTGACCTGCTGGCTTTTAGAATTATTTGTGTACTTCTTGTGACTACTAATAACCGTTAGTTTCTCTATCCCTTAAAGTTAAGGTGTTTATGCCAGTGATTGGTGTGGAAATCAAAGAGGACTGCAGATGACAAATGAGCTTTTTCTATTGCACCAATCTTCAGTTACTTTTAAACCTGTTTTTTATCTCACTCTCAATTCCATTTCCAATCCGGATCAAGTTTGTAATAACTTGATGGCTTTCAGTTACACTGCTCCACAGGTTTCCTTGCTCCACAGATTGTGCTTGAAATAATTTTGTTCATGCTTATTTCATCCTTTGTGCCTCCGCCATATATTCTTCAAGCTCATCCATTGTTTGTTATTTCAACACCCATCAGGGCAATCACCTATCAAGTAAACCTGGTGTTATCTCACTCTTACTTCCTTTTGTCTCCTGAGATGTGAGATGGCCTTTATATCAGCTCCATCGGTGTCTAAGAACAACACAAATTCCTTTCCCTTTCTTTCCCCCCTTTTCTGACGGTGTAGTCAAAATCTTGCTGTTAAAAAAAATCTGTTTTTGCTTGTTCACTGATATATAACAAATTAAGTAATTATCCTTAATTCTAAGACCTCTATTTTATTTTATATTTAAAAATATGTGCTTTGTTGTTATCTCATATAAGCTTGGATTCTCTGTATTTTGTCAAACTGTAGTCACCAGGGCTCTCCTTGGTGTTAAACTAACGGAAGGGACATAAAAGGTAACTTTCTGAAATATCTACTTGAAACACAAATTCTTGAGTGTGCAATTTTTACTGCTCCCTGTGATGGCACGATCAATTGAGATTTTGGTTGTGGCTGTTTCTTGAGGTCCAAGGCTGGACTGTCAGAAATCTTTTTTTTTGGTGGTTAGATCAGGTATCTTAACTACTTGTTAAGAAACTGTGAGTTGTTGGAGGGCTTGTGGATTGGAATGAGATCATGAGAGGGACAGAGAATGGAGTAGTCAAAATATTGATTGAACTGGTTGTTGTATGATGAAGCATCCAGGGGGATAATAGCCGAATGAACTGCATGCAGTCACTTGATTATGGGCATATGACAGTTGTATTTAATGGGTATGCAGGTGATGAGAATTGCTTTGGGGTTATTTTGCTGTACAGCCTGGTGGGTTATGGTTTTGTTTGACTTGATAAAGTATGGAAGTTGCTACCATCATGTAATTATAATTAATAAGAGCTATCAAATGTGGTTGGGGGCAATGATAACTATTAGCTCTTGATGATGTATGGATAAAGGTCATATCTCCAGTTTGCTTCTACACTCGGCATCATGCTTCCAGCTTCTCTTTATGTGTTACATAATACAAGTACATGTCAGACTCGAAACTGTATGCTGTATTGATGCTAGGAAAAAACTTCGTAGTCAGTTCAGATTTCTTGAATGAGTTTGGTACCAAAACTTTTGGAAATAACTATTAGCTATAGGATATATCATCTTCTGAGCACCGTTAAGGCGATCCTTGATTTGAAACTGCCTATGACTAACAGAAAATTTTTAGTCTTATCATATACTACCTCCGTTTCTTTTTAGTTGACACGTATTCCTTTTTAGGAAGTTTTTTTTAGTTGACACATTTCCTTTTGGGTAACTTTTTTACCTTGCATTTACAAGCTACCCCACTTGCTTTTACATTCTCTCTCACTCTCTCGCCTCTCCTTAATATATGTGTCTAAATCAAACGCGTCAACTAAATAGAAACGGAGGAAGTATAAGGTTGTACATTGAAAAAACTGGAGGAGGAGGTTCTGGCGTTCTGCAGTAACTGTTTTTAGTCTTAGTTTTTGTATGTATGATTTTGTGAGTGGGGATGTGCTTACATGCATTTGTCTGTGACTGTGGATATGTGATTTTGAATTAGGGTGTGGAGGAGGGAGGCATTAGCTATTTTTAGATGCAGTTTCTGTTTCTTAGTCTTAATATGTGTGCACAAGCATCAGAAGATGTGTTCCTGCATGTTTGTATTATTTGCATCAGTACTCTTTCTTTCCAGGACTAATACTTTGTACTACAAAATTTATTGGCACCAATCTCCTAATTTCTTTTTTCAAATGTTATTGATATAGGAAGCTTTTATGTCTGTGTAGTTTTCCTGTCCTCTTTTATTGTTGGACTGAAAGTTATTCTTTTCCCTCTTTGTTGGATTTTCCATTCCTCCTGGGGCAAAAGAATATGTTTTTTTGCAATCTGTAAAGAAAGGTTATTATTCTCCTTTGGGCTTGTCAAATCAAAGATATATTGATGCCTTTTAGTTGCTGCTTATTGATGGAAACCTGATAAGGCTCCAATATTCTTTTAAAATTAGGGACATACTTTTTATTGACTATCAAACTAAGAATGATGCAATAATTGCGTATTGGTTAGTATAATAAATTTGATAAGTTAATCTTTGGTGTGGTAAACTATCATTAGCCACCAGCTGGTTGAACTGTTGAATGAAATAGCTGCTGTAAAAGAAGTTGTGTTTGGTGTTAATAGCAACTTTTATCTGTTTGTATGAGAAGTAATATGTTAGAATGGTGGTTCAGTTGAATGCTACTTCTGCCTGCTTTGATCAGAGATGATATCTGTACTGTGCTAATAGTGCCTTGTAATATAAGGTAATTACTGCTATAACACATTTTAAGAGGCTGTACTTTATATTGGCAAAATCTGAACAAGTATTGTAGCTACTGGAATCTCTTTTTTATTCACTTATGAGGGCCATAAGGCCAAAAATCATAGTGTGTAGAGCTGTCAAAAGTAGACCTGACGTGTAAAATTAACCGAAACCAGACTTGGACCTAATGACTTAACTTGAAATCAACCTGAGACCTGGGTTGTCCTCCGGACTCGAGACCCAAACCCCGAACCTTATTAGACCAATCAACCTAACCCAAATTACTGATTTGAACCAAACCCAACCCGAACTCGAGATGACCCAAACTTAACCTGTTGAATACTAAATTCAACCTGACCTACTCAACTTGTTATTGACCCGATTCAAATTCAACATGGCCTATAATTGACCCAACTCGAATTCATCTGGACTTGTCAATATTACAACCCGACTCAACTCTAATACAACCTAGATAGCCTATCTGATACAATTACATTACTTACGTACATGCTCCTTTTAGAATTTGTTTAATACTATATGAAAATGTACATGGATGATGACCCAAACACCTAATGACGCTACCTAAACTTGACCTGATCCAAATTTAACGTGATCTGACAATGACCCAACCCAAAATTGACTTGAACACGATGATGATCTGGCCTAAAATAACCTGCTACAAATTCGTATCATACTCGAACTGAGTCAATTTGAGCCCAATTTAACCGACCCAAAGCCAATAGGATACATGACCTGAATCCCACATTGATGAACCCAATAATTGTGGAGGTGCTTGACTGGTTAATCAATAATTCAGCATCTTGAATTTAAATGTTCTGATCAACACTACCATTTAGAAAGGGAGAATCAAAGTGTTTCCTGTTACAGCTAATTCTAATTTCACTCAATTTTTATAAAGTGACTGAACTTTGTGAATTTGACCCTTCCCCCCAACCCCTCTCAGTTTCACTTTTCCTAACTCAACTCTTCAGTCTTCCTTGTATTACATGGCCTTTTCGAACAATTCACCAGAGCTTCTCCCCATCATGCATAATCTGATAGGTGCTGGTTGAGAGTTGTGATAATTTAGTCAAATTTAATCAACTTTTTTGTGGTCTAACTTTAGGAATCCAATGGTATGGCCGATGTCTTTCTGCTATTGTTTATTTGCAAATCTATATGTCATATTGTTATAGCATCCTCTAAATTCGTTGTCTTATACTCCCTCCGTCCCAAAAAGAACGACCCATTTGGCCAAAACTTTGTCCCAAAAAGAATGACCCATCTGCATTAAAACACCACCAATTTGCAACAATATTTGTGCAAAATTAGCTTCCCCCTATAAAAATTTGATTTTCCATGTTATTTTATTACTTTCTCTCTCTATTTTTTTACAAACCCCATGTAAATTTATCTTTCCAATATACTTTTACTTCTTTTTACTTAACTTCCTTAATACCTGCGTAATCAACCCAAATGGGTCGTTCTTTTTGGGACGGAGGGAGTAGTTTATAAATTGTTACTTGGTATTCACATGCCCTTACATTCTCAAGATATTATAACTGGCAGTACAATGATAATTTTGTTCATTTGAATGCTGATATGATCCATTAGTAATATTCTGTATATCACAGGTCAGGGCTTTTCTGTGGCACTTTTCTATAGATTTTTATTTCTATGTTTGTGGTAGAGACTGCATTTAAGACCCGGTTGTCCCTGGATGAGCAAAGTTGATAGCCTTTACTTCTTACTTCATATATGTACCCTTTTGTGTGTGTTTGTGTCTGTTATTTCTTACCCCGAAATGGATGGTTGATAATCTTGATATGTAAAGCAATAAATTCCACATTAGTTGGACTGTAATCAGGCCTGTGTCCTGTGGTACTTGGACTCTCTATCTCTTATGATAGCTAGATACATCCCTTGTCTGGCACGATTTAGCCCAAGTAACATTCTACTGACTTTAGGCTTCATCAGCGTTTCCCTTTCATGCACAGTAGCATATATTATTTTATCTAAATTGATTATGTGTGGTTCTTGCAGGGCTTTATCTAATTTAACAGCCAATGGAGATCAGCACTGATGGCTCGTAAGATGGCTGTGGCCTGTGGCTGTGCTGATACATAGTTGATATAATCCTTTCGTGCTACTAAATCAGCTGATTTGCCATTTCCATGGAAGTTGGATGTTGGAGGACCAAACATCTAATTGAAACTGGCAGAGGGCAGCCTTCCATCTGAAATGCATTTACTGTATGAATGTCATTATGTAGAACTGAAAGGATAAAATACTGTTTAAAATTCATTATGTTATTATGGATTGTTAAATATCAATTTAATGCCGATAAATAATTGAAAAATTATTTCCTTGTTACTGTCCATACCTTTTGATCCACACCACATATTTGACTGAACATAATCAGAAATTATCATCGATAAATAGCCAGGCCTTTTGGTCTACATATTCCAATTACAGGGTAACAAAACTTTAGGTTTTATCATTTCATCATTCGGGGAATCACTGGCTTACAATTGTTTCTTTTGAAAATGATAAAGGTGGTACTTCTCTTGTTCCACATCAATTACTGTAACATATTTTGACTTCTAAATTATCTACTACCTTTGTCTCCAAAAGTTTGACCCCTTTTGGTCTAATTTTAGTCTAAAAATGAACCATGTATTTACATTAAAATACCCACCAATTTGCAACAATATTTGTGCAAAATTAGTTTTTCCATATAAAATTTTGTTTTTTCTTGTACTTTTATTACTCTCTCTCTATTTTTTTTTACAAACTCCATATAAATTTATCTTTCCAATATACTTTTACACTTTTTATTTAACGTTCTTAATACCCGCGAAATCTACTCAAAAGGGTCGTTGGGAGTACATACTCTGCTTGACAAACTTCTGGGAATTATAAATAGAGTAATAAAAAAAATATGGTTAACTCCAACGGCAAGCTAATTGCCAAATTAGCTTGCCATGCTACCTAGGATTGCAAAGTTATTCTTCCTTCTATCTAATTTATGCCACAATGGTTAAGCTAATTAGCATTTAAATTTTTCAGCTTTATTTTTTAAATAATTAGTCTTTTATTAGAGACAATTAATTTCTAAGCTAATTAGCTTAGCTAAGCTAATTTGCTTGGCATTAGCTTGGCCAAGCTAATTATTAAACTGTATTAGCTTGAAAATTATTAAAATTGCAAGCTAGTCCCTAAAAGCAACCATTGGAGTTGCTCTTATGTGATATAACGTGTCATTACTCATTTAATTTGGAATTGAGAAATATTACTAGTACATTTGTTTTCCTAACTTCCACTCTCTTCATGTATACGGAGCTAGGATACATGGACACTTCATTCAACTGTTGTGACTAGGGGTGAACATAGTTTGGTTTGGTGCGGTTTGAGTCCAAACCAAACCAAACCAAACCGCAAAATACGGTTTGGTAAATTTTTCAAACCAAACCAAACCATATTAGTATTGAAACCAAACCAAATCAAACCGTAATAATACGGTTTGGTGCGGTTTATGATGAGTTGATATTTTTTTTTTTCCAAAAATTTTCAAATAATACTTCACTAATTTATAATAATGTTTAAATAAGTAGACATAACGGATTAAATTGTACTACAAAGTTACAATAAAAATATCAAGTGCTAACACATAATAAAAATAATACATAACAATAAAAGATATTCATATGAGTACTACATTATACTCATTAATTATAGAGTATTGACGGTATAGTTTTTATCTATTTTTCATGGTTTTTTATTTATTCATTAATTTTTTTATATAATATAAAAAAAAATTATTGAAAAATTATATAAATATTAAAATACGGTTTATTGGTTTACGGTTTGGTTTGGTTTATAATTTTTGCAAAACCAAACCAAACCATAAACCATATTTACAAAAAAATCGAGACCAAACCGTAATTTTATAAACCGTAAACCAAACCAAACCGCTAAAATACGGTTTGGTCTGGTTTGGTTACGGTCCAGACCAAACTGTGTACAGCCCTAGTTGTGACCGTATCAGACACCGACACTCGTGGGATACACGTCGACACGTTCAGGTCAGTATCCTACTATGATATAGGTTGTTCAGCTTTTATTATATTTTATTTTATTTTATTTTTTATTTTAATGAGATGTTTTAAGTAGAGTAAGATAAATAAGGTAATTGTTAAATAATATGGGTGCCTTCATATATACCTCATTGTTAATATGATACAATATGATCTAATGAGAGGATGAAATGAAAAAATATATGGTCATGTTTTTTTTTTTTTTTTTTTTTTTTATTTATTTATTTATTTATTATTATTATTTTTTTAGAAGTATATTTTATGAATTCTAACATCCCGTAACCGTGTCCCTTATTTTGAAATAGACGTGTTTCCGTATCCGATTCGTACCTGTATCGTGTCAGTATCCGTTTTTGTAGAACCTAGATACGAAGTATATTACTTTTAATTTATGAGGTTTGCATTGTTTATGAGATCTTTTATTTTATTGTTATCACCTTCCCAACAAAAATGATTTTGTTCAGTTTGAACTTTGAAAGGTTATCATTGTAAATTTGCTACTAAGATTCAAACAAAAAATGGTAAGAATAAGGGCCTGTTCTCTTCCGTTGAATTTCAGTTCAGTTCAGCTCAGCTCAGTTCAGTTCAGTTCAATTCAGCTCTTAATTTATGTCTAATGATATTGCTAATGAAATAAAGCCAAATTTCATGCTTTTAAGCTCTTATTACGACAACGACGACGACAACAACAACAACAACAACAAATAATAATAATAATAATAACAATAATAATAATAATAATAAATAATAATAATAATAATCAATAAATAATAATAATAATAACAATAATAATTGAAATAATAATACTAATAATAATAATCAATAAATAAAAATAATAATAATAATAATAATAATAATCATCAATAAATAATAATAATAATAATAATAATAATAATAATAATACTAATAATAATAATCAATAAATAATAATAATAATAATAATAATAATCAATATGTGTTTAAAATGTTTAGAGGTTTCAAGTTTTTAATATATTTTCCATAAATTTTATATATTATATAGTATATTTTTCGTAAATATTTTAATATGTACATTTGTATATACACATTTGTATAGTAATAAATAATCAAAGATCATTAATCCGTAGTTAAAAATCACTAATTAATAAGTTCAGTTCAGTTCAGTTCAACTGAGTTCAGTCAATCGGAACAGGCCCTAAGAGAGGGGGGGGGGGGTTTATATAAATAAGGCCTTGGTATAGTACTTGCGGACCAAGCCTTTGCTTGATAAACAACATGAAATAGAATATTGAAACATTTTATAATTTAAGTATATTGTCCTCAATGTATGATCATGGAGTGGTTAATTTCACGAAAATTCTTGTCATCTGTTGAGACATTTTCAACTTTCTGAATTATGATATACTCTGTAGATATACATCGTAGCTCACTTAGAGCAACATCCAAGATTCCAAGTATACTTTTTGGGGATAGGACATGGGAGCCTGAGGTAAGATAAATAGTACGAGTAACATATGTATGTACTAACATAGGGCTTGGCAGCCTTGGTTGATTTTTAACAGAAATACAACAGAAAATCAATCAGACCTAGAATGCAAAATCCATCAGTTCTGAATCCTTCTGTTGGAGTAATTTAAGGAAGCATATAGAAAAAACATAGGAAAACCTCGGATAGTCATAGATAGAATGCAATTGTGGGTCTCTCTATTCAATCTGATGCTCGTAAATCGTGATAGGTTATACATAGAAACATAGCCCGATTGTAAGCCTACAAGTTCGAGACATATCTACACCATTAGACACTACAAGTTCAACATCAGGCATTACACAAAGCAACATTGTTGTATTGATTTTTTCACCTGTACAAAGCATCAGAGGGACAGAAAACCCACCTTCTAGGAAGGGTTGTCAACTGCCCCCACATCATGTGGTTAGGTGAGAGCGTAAAACTAGAACACAAGCACTTAAATTTGCAAAGAAATTACAGAAAGCTAAGATGAGGTAGGTAGCTCTGCATCGTCTGATAGGGACTGATATGGTAGCATCGCGCAGCAACAACTCAACCATGATCCAGTTCAAATGAAAACAGGTTATCGTGCATCAGTGAACCATCTCTTCATCAGGTACAACTGCATCATGTAGGAACAGGTCACCATGTCTATCAACACGAGCAAGCCGGCCAATAACATGAGCATTGAATGTCAGAAACATGCTGCTAGAACCACCGTTGCTGACTTGCTGAGTCTAAAATTGTTAGCATTATGGTCCCAAGTTTGCAACATGATCTCCTAAGTCATTCAGAGCAGTAACAGCATTACCATTCCATTATAAACTGTCAAGGGCAGGGAAATTGCTAGCCATCAGCTGAGTTGTCAGGGATTTCTGTGTGGATGCAGCTGGACTGTCCATTGTACAAGCGCATGTAAATAGTTAGCCATATTTCACATTTTAAAATTTAAAACTCTCAAGTAAATATTTGACAGAGAAAAAACAAATATCGAGAGCTTCTTAACCTACATATTTTCGTTAGTTACTTTCAACTCGTCCAGTTATTATGCGGCAAGAGCATAAGCAAAACCGATAGGAATCCAATGCTTCAGGGCTTCAAATATAACTATGGTAGAGACGTCCACATAACAACACTTTTAAGAGTTATGCCCAGTAATGCAGAGATGAATGTTGCAGGAGTGACCAGAAAATCAGTAAATCTATCAATGTAAACAGATGAAAACCAATTCAAGTGAAACGTATATGTTCTTTGGACTTACATAAGCTAAAAGGTTCTGAGAAAATTTATAGCATCTCTCGAGGCACTGCAAAAATTACAATTTTATGTAGTTTGAAGTATATATTTTCAGTTGCAGCAATCAAATTTTTAAATAATAGATGCCTACATGTAAGAAGAGAACCTTTGTTTACCTGCATCTCGCATCTCCAACTCATTCTCTTTGGAATAATTATAATCATAAGAGCTGCCTGCAGCAAATAAGTGTCATTTATCCTCCAGTTCTAAGGCTTCATTTCATATTACAAATGGAAAACCATTGCATTAAGAAACCACTGCAACATAATGTCTCTGCAAAAGCTCACAAAAATAAAAGTTAGTACTAAATACTTACTTACACAATAGAGAACAATTAAACAGATAATAGGAGCTTATTATGGTGCATATGCTTTGCAAGAATCACCCATCAATGATTAAACAATATTTTAAATGTCATTTAATGATTGTTGATAAATGTTGTAACGAGAATACCTTCAGAGTTCAGACTGGTTTATCTTCTCACAATTCCAATATATACTTCAACCAATGCCAAAACCAGACAATCAGTCAAGTCTACAGACCACCACCTGTCTGATTCAAACATGAGCAAAATTCGACACCAACTAGCTATGGAATCTCTCTTAAATATCGCGAAGACAGATATTTTCAAGCCAATATCCCCCTGTTTTTTTTTTCTTTTCCCCTTTTTATCCTCTTTGTTGAGGGTTAAAAGGATTACATACCAACACAAATCCCAAGGTTTTTCTTCGAGTAACAAAATCTGCGATCACCTAAGTACATCCCCTTTTAGGGAGCTGCAAGAAAAGGACATGCATACAGTATAATCTTCAGTTGCAGTGACAAATATGATAAAGCAGCTTTATGTGAGAGGGCAAGAGTTTCTTACCAAGTTTATCACTAGAATATTTCATCTCTTTGCTGCTCAAAATATCTGCGACTTCAAATTTAATGCCCAATGACCATTGCCAGCAGAATTTTGCAGGAAATACATCAGAGAGCAAATGGTTAATTTCCAAGGCAAAACAAATCATAAAATCAGTTAAATTTGATTGATGAGGAACTATGTATTTAATTACCTTTCGACATCAGAACATCTTCTCTTTTGGAGCATGACTAGCAGCCAATATCATCATCCAATCAGTCAAGTATGAAGATCACCCTTGCCTAACTGTTGCAAAATAAAAGAATAGAGAACTAATTCGAGGAAGACAATAGTTAAGGTAAAAGCCCAGCATTATGTTTCATTTTTGTTCCTGTTTATAAAGGGTATAACAAACAAAACAAAGCCTAAGATAGTATGCTAGTGTACATTAATTAGGCACCACAACAAGATATCTTAACAATATCCATAATGTTCATTACATTATAACTGAAGGAATGACTTACCCCATGTCGAAAGCTATTGGTCATAACCCCAAAACTGTATCTGCTTAAGGAGTCGATTGCCTTATTTAAGACGATACAGAGCAGATGTAGGTGTGAAATGTTCATTACTCAGTCAACAAGTGTACTGACTGTCCCTTGTCTGATAAGAATTGAGCTAGCAACATTCAACACCAAGTAGCAAGGGAGTCTCTGAATTATCAACAAAAGAGGACAGATATTTTCAAGTCAATATCAGTCAGGTATGAAATGCACAAGTTAACCATATTAACCACATCCCTCTCTGCTCTCTGCTCTCTGCTCTCTTTTTTATTTTTTTTCCTTTTTCTTGAGGGTTAAAAGGATTACATATACCAACATAATCCCAAGGTTTTTCTTTGAGTAACAAAATATGTGATCACCTAAGCACTTCTCCTAAAAGGGAGCTGCAAGAAAAGGACATGCATACAGTATAATCTTAAGTTGTGACAAATTTGATAAAGCAGCTTTATGTGAGATAGAAAGAGTTTCATACCAAGCTTATCACTAAAACATAAGCTCTCTTTGCTGCTCGAGATTTCTGCAACTTCAAAATTCTGCCCAATAACTATGGCCAACAAAGTTTCTGCAGTAAAATTAAACATTCGGTTTGATAGATGCATCAGAGTGCAAATTGATATGTTATACTAATGCAAATACATATGGCCCATGTAATATTCTCAGTTCCCATGGTTAATTTCCAAGTCTAAACAAATCTTAAACTCATCTAAATTTTATTGATGATGAACTTATTTAAATACCTTTAGATATCATTACATCAGAACATCTTCTCTTTTGGAGCATGAATTGCAACAAAATACCACCAGCCAATCAGTCAAGTATGAAACCACCCTTGCCTAACTCATGCAAAAAAAGAAGAATAGGGCAACATTCAACATCAACAACATGGAACTTATTCGGGCAAGACAATAGTTTAGCTAAAAGCCCAGCATTTTTGTTCCTGCTTGTAAAGGGTATAAGAAACAAAACACTACCTGAGATAGTATGCCAGTGTATATTAATTAGGCACCACAACAAGATATATCATAACCATATTAGAACTGAAGGGCTGACTTACCCCATGTCGGTTGCTTCTAGTCCTAATCCCATAACTGTATCTGCTTGAGGAGTCAATTGCCTTGTTTATGACCATACAGAACAGACGTAGGTGTTATTGGAGGTTATGTATGACATCCATAAAGAAACTGTGTTTAGACTCGAGTGGAAATGTGCATTACCTAGTCAACAAGTGTACAAACCGTCCCTTGTTTGATTCAGAATTGAGCCACATTCAATACCAAGTAGCTACAGAGTCTTCTGAAATATCACAAGAATAGAGTTATCCATTTATACAGAAGGAGTTATTTTCCAGTCAATATCCCCCCTCTATTTTTTTTTTCTGCCTTACTTGAGGGTTATAAGGATTACATACCGACATAATCCCATGGTTTTTGCATCAAGTAATACAATCAGTGATCATTTAAGCACATATCCTTTTAGAGAGCTGCAAGAAAAGAACAAGCATAAAGTCAATTCTCAGTTGCAGTAAAAATATTTGATAAAGCAGCTTATATGTGAGAAAGCAAGAGTTTCTTACTATTTACATCAGAGAAAGCAAGAATTTATCTCTTTAATTACTGCTCAAAAGTTACTGTCAATTAACCATTGCCAACAGAGTTTGTTTCTGCAGATTCATAAAACAAAAACGTTAATTGATGCATCAAGAAGCATTTAGAGATGTTATACTGATGCAAAAACATATGACGCAATTTTCTCAGTTCCCTTGGTCAAATTTCCAGGAAAAATTAATTTTATATTCATACAATTTTAATTGATGATGAATTATATATTGAAATACCTCTCAATGTCAGAAGATCTTCTCTTTTTAAGCATGAATAGCGATCAATAGCACCAGCCAGTCAGTCAGGTATGAAATGCACCCCTCACCTAATTCATGCAAAAACGAAGAATATACCAATATTAACCATCAATTATAGAACTTATCTGACAAATGCAAGTTAAGCTAACAACCTAACATACTTGGTTAGTATGTTAGTGTAAATTAATCAAGCAGCACAACAAGACTTAATTTATATATTTACATGAGATCGAACTACATATACAGAATGTTCACTATAATAGGACTGATGAGTGACTGGCTTTACCTCATGTCAGGGTGTTACTAACCCCGCTCACAAAACTGTAATAGTAAGGCCATATATACATAGAAGCTGCGATGTAGGTGTTGCGATCAACACAGTTAAAACATCCATATATACATAGAATTACGAAGCTCTATTGGAGTAGAAATATGCATTTTCTTCTCAATAATGAGCATAACTTTTAATGTTATCGAATAGAAAACAACTAATGAGTAAATTACAAACAGAGAGTGAGGGATACCTCAAGTGGTTAGACTTCTTCTTTTCAGTGTCGATTCTATAAACACCAAAAAAAAAAAAAAAAAAAAAAATTACGAACAACAATAACCTAGTTTAGCGATAAAAACATTGCTGAATAAATAAATAAATTACATACACAAAATGGATATATTACCTTATGATATTCCAAAAAATCTTCAACATATATATAAGGGATGTGGCATATTTTGAGCCAGTCTTCCCCGTCTGGTTCCTGGCATCTATCCTTGAGTTCACGGCTGGGATCTTTTATTTCTAGTGTATTGAGGGAGGTAAGGTGTTTTATTGCTTCTGGCAGTGATTTCAGTTTCCGGCAACGTTCCATTACAAGTGTAGTGAGGGAGGTCAGGTGTTTTATTGCTTCTGGCAGTGATTTCAGTCCGAGGCAATAACGTATTACAAGTGTAGTGAGAGAGGTGAGGTGGCACATTTCTTCCAGCAATGATTCTAGTTGACCGCATCTGCTAATTTCGAGGAAATTCAAGTTGGTGAGATGCTTTATCCTCAAGACACGGAAAGAATTTCGTAGACGGAGATGATGCATCGGCATCACTCTCTATGTACTCCATACTCTGCATATTCTTAAGGGTAAGATATTTGAGATGGCAAAGTTGACTCAGTGATAATGGCAGATCTAGCAACTCCTCACATTCTAACCGGATACTCACAAGCCCTGACACCCAACTTGGCAATTTGCCGAATTCGGTACCAATAAGGCCCACAATCGATAACTCCCGAGCTTGCCTATTACAGAACAGGAACTCCAGCAATTTCTTCTGACCTTTCTGATCCCGATCAATATCATATTCTATATTAAGAGAATCATGCATTTTGACTGAGTATCCCAGCTACCTTTCGAGCAAGGTCATGTATGAGATCATGCATTTTGACTGAGTTAATCCCGCCATTATCATTCTTCTCAACGTCTTGGAGAAAACACCTATGCAATAAAATTGAAAAGTATCTTTCGCCAGTATCTTCAATGCTATTATCTGTACCACTAGGAACAAGATAGCCGTGTGCTGACCATAACCTAATCAACTCCTCTTTAAATATTCTATAATCCTGAGGGAAGACCGAGCAAAAGCTAAAACAACTTTTTAGAGCGGGATCAAGATGATAATAGCTAAACATCAAAATTGGCATCAAGTCATCCTCATCGTCACGCATTTTAGCCAAATCAATTCTTCTGTACGACTGCCAAGCATTTATATCTTGACTACGCAACAAACTAGCGACCACCTTTATAGAGAGAGGCACATTAGCACATTTTTTTCACAATATCTCTGCCAATTTCATCAAAACCAGCAATGAATTCGTCTTCCTGAGCTCCAAGTGATATTTTCCTAAATAATTCCCAAGAATCCTTTTCAGAAAGACCTTGCAACTTGTGCATTGGATAATTTCCAATAGCTGTTGCCACCTTTTGACTGCGACTGGTCACCAAGATTCTACTTCCCTTTCCACCTAATTTCAAGAAGTCTCTCAGCTCATCCCATTTTATACCTCCCTCATACCACACATCATCTAAAACAAGCATGTACCTTTTCCCTTCAATCTGCTTTTGAACTTTACTATATAAATCTTCGAATGTACGTTGCTTCTTCTTAAGTATCTTACTTAGTATATCTTTTGTATCAAAATTAAAAGACACACAAACCCAGTACATCTCATCTTTGAATGCTGCTTTAATCCTATGATCACTAAACACAAGTTGAGCAAGAGCTGTTTTACCCAACCCTCCAATCCCCACAACAGTCACAAAAGATATATCTTTGTCTGAGTCATCTTTCAACAATAAATCCACAATCTCCTTCTTATCAGCATCTCTCCCAATAATATTATGTTCATACACATAAGAATATGTTTCCACTCTACCCTTGACAGGCTTATACAGCTCACTAAACCCAAAATTCTTGTGATTTGTTGATAAGGTATCCAACTCCTCCCTAAGCTTTTTAACCTTAGCAGACGCTTTAAAAGCAAATAAGAGCGGGTTCTTAGAGGAGAAGAAACGGCGTACCTTCTTAGAGAGTTGACCACCAGGCACACCATTCAGCAAATAAGAGTTAACCTCAGCAGGCGTTTTATGAGCAACTGAGAGCGGGTTCTTAGAGGAGAAGAAACAGTGTACCTTCTCAGTGAGTTGATCATCAGGCATACCATTCAGCTGCTGAGCAATGGTTCTATATTCATCAAACAGATCATCAGCATCGTACACAGCGTTTTTTAGGTTCTCGACCCAGCATTGGCCTTCATGGCTGAGCTCCTGCCACTTAGAGCCGGCATCAAGGAGGGAACTGTTGATGGTTTCAACAGTTTTGAGTAACTTCTCAAGCTCCGATTCATACTTAAAGACTGAGCATAGCTTCCGCACTTCCGCACACTGCAGTGTTGCAAAAAGTGTCTGAGCATTGTGGATATTTTATGGTAATCCATGATTGATATTATTGCGGGATGAAACATCGTTAGACCTTATTTTGGTGTTTAGAGAGCTACAAGGGTGGGAGTGAGAATCGATCCCAAGATCTCTTGAAATCGAAAGGGAAGCCCTAACCATTTAAGCTATCCCTCACTCTCATAGTTAAACCTTATAAATATACCTTTATTTATTTTATTTTTATGTCACATTTGTTGTTCTTATCTATAATATAACTATTAAAAGTGAGAAGTTGCAAGTTGAAAAACTCCTTAGTAATAGTGTGGTGACTCTTTTGCCCCTCAAAAAGTACAAATACATTTTTGCCCTTATTTGCTTTTTTGCTTGTTGATGATCTGTTAACTCCCAGCCTTCTGCCTGCCAAATTGCTTAGCTGGTTCTTCTCTCTCCTCAAGGTCTCCATGACTCTAATGGTGATTGGCATACTGGAAAACAGGAGATTGAGAAAATTATTCTCAATTTCTATGGTTCGCTGTTCACGAGGGGTGAGATCGATGTGAACTTGATGAGTTGAGGTGCTCTCTTGTGTGTCGTCCATGGTGAGTGAAGGTATGAATATTTCTCTTTGTCGTCCTTACCCCAAAGCCGAAATCTTTGTTGCCCTCTCTCAAATGAGCCCCTGTAAAGCCCCGGGGCCCGATGGTTTACACGCTATTTTTTATTAGAAATATTGGCATATTGTTGGAGATGATGTGACTATTTTTGTTAACAATATTATTTCTGGTAGAATTGCTTGAGTGATGTAAACCGTACGAAAGTTTCTCTTATTCCGAAAGTGAAGGACCGACTTGTATTTCACAGTTCCGTCCTATTCACTATGCAATGTTCTTTATAAGCTATCTTCAAAAGTGGTGGCTAATAGGTTGAAACCGCTTCTTCAAGATACGGTGACAGAAAATCAGAGTGCCTTTCTTCCTAAGCGTTTAATTACCGATAATGCACTTATTGCTCTCGAGCTTTTCCATACTATGAAGAAGAGGTCAAAGGGTCATAGGGGTACCATTGCTATGAAGCTTGACATGAGTAAAGCTTATGATCTGGTAGAGTGGGTTTTATTTAGAAGACTTCTGACAAAGATGGGGTTTGCAGGTGCTTGGGTTGATATCATCATGACATTTGTCTCCACTGTTACTTATTCTTTCATCATTAATGGGGTCCCCTTGGATCCCCTAACTACCAAGCTTATCACTAAAAAAAATCACCAGCCAACAAGTCAAGTATGAAGACCGCCCTTGCCTAACTGATGCAAAAAAGAAGAATATAGCAACAGTGTATGTTAATTAGGCACCACAACAAGATATTTCATAACAGTATTCATTATATTAGAACTGAAAGGCTGAATTACCCCATGTCCGCAGCTACTAATCCTAATCCCAAAACTTTATCTGCTTAAGGCGTCGATTGCCTTGTGTAAGACTATACAGAGCAGACTTAAGTTTTAATGGGGGCTATGTATGACATCCGTAAAGAAGCTCTGTTTAGACTCGAGTGAAAATGTCCATTACTCATTCAACAAGTGTATAAATTGTCCCTTGTCTGATTCAGAGTTGAGTGACATTCAACACCGAATAGCTTGGGAGTCTCTCTGAAATATTACAAGAAAGGAGATATTTATTTATTCATTTATGTATTTTTTTTTCTCCCCTTTCTTGAGGGTTACAAGGATTGCATACCAGCATATCTCCATGGTTTTCCTTTTTAAAGTGCTAGCTGCAAGAAAAGGACATGCATACAGTATAATCTCAGTTGCAGTACAGAAATTTTATAAAGCAGCCTATGGTGAAAAAGCAAGAGTTTCTTACTTTTGTACTATCTCTTTACTGCTCAAAATTTACTGCCAAATATCCAACTGCCAACAGAGGTTGTTTCTGCAGATTCATACTGTAAAACAATAAGGTTATCTGATGCATCATCTGAAAGCATTTAGAGGTGTTATACTGATGCAAAAACATATGACGTGTAATCTTCTCAGTTCCCTTTAATCTTATATTCAGTCAATTTTGATTGATGATAAATTATATTTAAATACCTCTAATTGTCAGAAGAGCTTATCTTTTTAAGCATGAATTGTGATCAATAGCACCAGCCAGTCAGTCAGGTATGAAATGCACCCTTCACCTAAGTATGCTAACAACAAAACAAAGAATATAGCAATATTAACCATCAATAAACTTATCTGACAAACACAAGTTAAGCTAACAAGCCAACATATTTAGTAAGGGGAAATTCCCTGTTGCTCATGGTGAGAAACAAATTTGTTTCTCATAATGGCATTTTTGTAAATAAATCAATAACTTTTTTATTATTGTGGGCTCCACAATTGAATTAGTAAGTATGCTAGTGTATATAAGTACATTAATCAGGCAGCACAACAAGATTTAATTTATATTTATATAGATCGAACTACAATATACAGAATGTTCACTATATGAATGTTCACTATATTTATCTGATACAAACTGAATCAGCGCTACCCATATACTCCCCAATTAGGGGATTGAAAACGCATGAATAATCTATTGTCAACTTGTTCAAATAGATTGGATTGCTTTCAACACCGCCTTCTTTCTTATAAAATGTCAGTGCTTCATTGACTTCTTTAAGATTCAGTTTTTTTAAATGTGGACATTGAGGAATGTATGCCAATCTCTCGCACGAACTAATACACAACTCACAGAGCTGAGGAAATGATGGAATGAAAACAGTTTCCTTCTCCATCCAAGTTACATCTCTCCACCACCCCTCTAATTTTGGCATGTCAACGAACTCTAACTTCTCAAGACACGGGAAGAATTTCGCTGATGGAGATGGTGCATTGCACTCTATGTACTCCATATTCTTCATAAACCAGAGGGAAAGATATTTGAGATTACAAAATTTTGATATAATTGAGCGAAATTCCCCCTCATCACTGTACCCTTTGGCCATCATGAATAAAGTACGCAATGTTTTACAGGTATAATTACTTGAACTTGACAACTTAGCCACACATTCTTCACTATCAACAAACAGATGACGAACTTTCCCAACTTCATGTGACAATGCAAGGACTCCTTTCCAGCAACCTTTCGAGCAAGGACATGCATCAGATCATGCATTTTGACTGATTCGACTGGTTTAAATTTCCAACCAACATAATAATCATGCTGCTGCTTTAAATCTTGGAAAAAACACCTATGCAATAAAATTGAAAAATATCTTTCACCTACATCTTCCATGCTATTATCTGTACCAAGATAGCCGTGTGCTGACCATAGACTAATCAACTCCTCTTTATATATTCTATGATCCTGAGGGAAGATTGAGCAAAAGCTAAAACACCTTTTAAGTGCGGGATCAAGATGGTAATAGCTAAACATCAAAGTTGGCATCAAGTAGTCTTTCTCATCGTCACGCATTTTAGCCAAATCAATTCTTCTGTACGATTGCCAAGCATTTATATCTTGACCACGCAACAAACTAGCGACCACCCTTATGGAGAGAGGAACACTGGCACATTTTTTTCAAAATATCTCTGCCTATTTCAACAAAACCAGCAATGGCTTCGTCTTCCTTATTATCTCCAAGTGATATTTTCCTTTTCAGAAAGACCTTGTAACTTGTGCATTGGATAGTTTCCGATAGCTGTTGCCACGGCTTCACTGCGGCTGGTCACCAAGATTCTACTTCCCTTTCCACCTAATTTCAAGAAGTCTCTCAAATCATCCCATTTTATACCTTCCTCACACCACACATCATCTAAAACAAGAAAATACTTTTTCCTTTCAATCTTATTTCGAACTTTTTTATATAGATCCTCAAATTCAAGATTCTTGTTACCAATCATCTTACCTAGGATATCTTTCATGCCAAAATTTTCAGACACACAAACCCAATACATCATATTTTCTTCAAATGCCTCTCTGATCCTATGATCACTGAACACAAGTTTGGCAAGAGCGGTTTTCCCCAACCCTCCAATCCCCACAATAGTCACAAAAGAAATATTATTCTCCAAGTCATCTTTCAACAATAAATCGACAATCTTTTTCTTGTCGGCATCTCTGCCAATAATATTCTGTTCATACAAATAAGAACATGTTTCCTCTTTGATTCTCGCAGGCTTATACAGCGTACTAAACCCAAAATCCTTATGATCTTTAGCTATTTTGTCCAACTGTTCTCTAACCTTCTTTATTTCTCTAGACATGTTAAATGCTAACTTCTTAGAGGAAAAGAAAAGGCGTACCTTCTTAGAGATAATACGACCCGGCTTCTTATATTTATGCTGCTCGGCAACGGTTTTGTATTCATCAAACAAATCTTCAGTGTCGTAGACAGCATCCTTGAGCTTGTTGACCCAGTCTTGGCCGACATGGTTGAGCTCCAGGCTTTCAGTATCGGCCTGTAGGAGGAGCTTCTTGATGGTACCGACGGTCTCAATCAGATCCTTAAGCTCGGATTTGTACTTCAACATGGAGCATAACTTACGCAAGTCCTGACAATCCAGCGCTGCAAGTACTGTCTGAACAGCACTCAGTGCCGTTGCAGCGTCCATGCTGATTGCTGAAAGTAAGTTTAGAGAGCAAAGAAAAGTATGAAGGCTACCAAGTTTTTTGTTATTCTGGTTGGAGACGTTGGAGTAGTGTTGTAACTATTAGCTCTACTTCCCTCTTTTAATAGAAGAAGTGGTCCTCTTAATTAGCGCGTGGTATGACTTCAGTCCATTTTCCACAACTAACGCTTTTTTTTTTTTTTTTTTTTTTTCTAAAAATATATATATAGTAGTTTTGTGCCCCTTGCGTTATCCGGGTTGTTTATTAGATTTTAAGATAAAATATACGATTGATACAAAATTACATGAATTGATTTTTTGTTTTTTTTTTTTTTTGTCATGATTTGCTATCTAGCAGGCATGTAATAACTAATAACAATAATGTTGGTGAAAATGTTTGATTTAATACATTAAAAAATAAATAAATAAAATTAAATAAAATAAATGTTCAAAACCCGTCGAATTGACCCGAAACACAAAACTTTGGGTAAGGGTTGAACATTTCTTGACTTGTAACCTAAATAGACCCAATTCAAGATGGCACATGATCGGACCCTGATTGACAGGTCTACATAGTAATAAAATTCTATTAGATTGTGAAGTATATTATTTTAACCAATTAATATATGTAAATGGATGATTTACGCTTCAAATTACTTCTTCTACTCCAAAAAATATTATGATATAAAAAATAAATTTATATGATAATTTTTTAGAATTATAATCTAATAATTTTTTTGAATAAAATTGTAATTCAATTTGTACATCTGAAATATTAGTATTTTGTCGAAAATAAAACTCTAAACTTTCATATTTACTGAACTGAGCTGAACTAAACTGAACTGAACTGATTGGAGCTGAACTGAACTGAATTGAACTGATTGGAGCTGAACTGAACTGAAAAATTAAAATGCATAAAAATATATGAAAATGTTTATGAAAATTAATGATAATATATATAGTGGATTGTGAAAAATATAAAAGTGTTTTAAAAATAACTCTGTATTTTAAATTATTATATTTTAAATTATTAAATTTTTGTGTATTATATTTTAAATATACATATAAAAATAAAAAGTATTCTTCAATATTTTACTGTAGTCAATCGTTGCTTGTTGTACTCTACACAATTTTGTTCGTTTACATGAACTAGGGATTCCATTCATGCACCAAGTTGAAGTCATGGGACCAACAGAAGATCATACTATGTACGATGATAACAGAAAAGCAGCTATGGATATTGTACAAAACCAAATAACTGATCAGATATGGGAGTCAATTCAGAGGAATGCCGAGATAATGGAGCAACTTTATGAAGAAGAATAACACGAAGAACTAACCGATTATGAAAGCTAGTAACTGTTGTGTAGTACTCTCATTTTGTCAATGAGTTCAACTATAAAAAAAACATGTGACCATTTTGAACGACGAATATAATTTAAAATAATAATAATAATAATAATAATAATAATAATAATAATTATTATTATTATTATTATTATTATTATTGTTGTTGTTGTTGTTGTTGTTGTTGTTGTTGTTGTTGTTGTTGTTGTTGTTGTTGTTGTTGTTGTTGTTGTTGTTGTTGTTGTTGTTGTTGTTATTATTATTATTATTATTGTCGTTGATGTAATATGCTAAAACATCTACAACAAAAAAATTAACAACTGAGCTGAATTGAACTGAACTGAACTGATTAGAGCTGAACTGAACTGAACTGAACTGAACTGATTGGACCTGAATTGAACTGAACTGAATTGAAACTAAGTAAATATGAACAGGCCCTAACAATTATCTTATAAAATTTATTTAAAACTATCCAACGTGACGCAACACTTGGCGAAAAGTTAGAACGCCAAGTGTCGTTAGCTGTCTCGTGACCTGGCTAAAAGTTTAACTATATATATATATATATATATATATATATATATATATATATATATATATATATATATATATATATATATATATATATATATATATTTGTTCTAAAAAAAATTAAGGATTGTTAAGTTGATGACGACATTATTTTTGGACCATGATTGAATATAAGACCTAAAGAGCATTGGTAAATGGTAATATAAAAAAGAATATTATAACATGATATAATGGACATTATTTACACCTAAGGACGGATCTAGTATAAAGTATTAACCCAACACCTACAATACCATCATAGACACTATAAGACTAGAAAACCAACTCAGGCAAGTATATTCAATGTAATAACTAACAAGAATTATTTATATACACTGAATTTATCCGGTATAGGCGGGCCGTGGTCTGGATAGGCCCGCTCCTGTATCCGTCATTAACACCCATCATGATCAATAGACAAATTTAAAATAAAAAAAAAACATTTCATAATAAGCTATAAACATTATTTCTAACAATAAAAGTATATTACAATTACAATAAAGTACATGCATGGACAATTCTAATGAACATATGAAAAAAAGTAATCACATAGTCACTATGTTTGTTTTTATTTATTTTTGATTAATTTTTAATAATATGTAATTAAAAATGTTGAGGTCAAAGTTTGTCTCCGCAAATATAAGTTTACCATTTTAAAATAATGTGGGAATTTACGTAATGAAAAATGTAGTAATGTGAGATCTTGTTATATTAGTCTTGACTAGATTAGTGCTCGTACATCGCACGGTAGTAACAAATTTTTTTTATCATAATTAGTTTGTTATATAATATAAAAATGAGGCAGTTCATATGAAATATACATATGCAATGTGTATAAGAAAAATGAAATAATAAGGCCAAAATTATTAAAATTAAATTGAGACAAAAATTCTTGTTGATTAGTTGTGTTGAAAATATTTAAAAGTAGTATACGACATTATATTATATTAACTAGTTTTGTGCCATGTACGATGCCCGGATTTTTTATTAAATTTTGAGATAAATTTTAAATCTATATTCAAATTTCAAATTATATCTCTAGTACAGAATTATTTAGGAATTGATGAGCTTTTGTAAAAATTTAAACTATATATGTAGCAGACATGTAAATGATTAATAATAATATTGATATTTTTTTTAGAGTTATAATCTAATATTTTTTTGAATAAAATTATAATTCGATTTATACCTATGAAATATTGGTGTTTTATCAAAAATAAAACACTCAACTAACAGTTTTATTCTAAAATTCTATCCAAATTTGATTGAAAATAGAAATCTAGACTACGGGTTGTTTATTAAATTTTGAGTTAAATTTTAAATCTATATTCAAATTTCAATATATATCTCTAATACAAAATTAGTTAGGAATTGATGTGCAGTGCTTTTGTAACTATTTAAACTATATATTTAGTAGGCATGTAAATTATTAATAATAATATTGGTATTTTTTTAGAGTTATAATCTAATATTTTTTTTGAATAAAATTATAATTCAATTTAGACATATGAAATTGTGTTATAATTTTATTTTTTTTTGAATAAATTATAATTCAATTTATACCTATGAAATACTGGTATTTTATCAAAAATAAAACTCGCAACTAATAATTTTATTCTAAAATTCTATCCAAATTTGATTGAAAATGGAAATCTAAACTAATTAATTTATCTTATGAAGTCTATCTAAGTATATCTAACGTGGCGCGACAGTTGGCGAAAAGTTGGAATGCCAAGTGTCGCTGTCTTGTGGCCTGACTAAAAATTTAGCTTTATATATTAGTTACTAGTTTTGTGCCCCGTGCAATGCCCGAGTTGTTTATGGACTTTTAAGATAAAATTATATTATAATTCAATTCGATTAAGAATAGAATTCTAAATTAACTCTTTTTGCTACAAAGTCTATCTATATTTATCCAATATGGTACGACACTTGGCGAAGAGTTAAAACGCTATATGATCTTGTCTTGTGGACTAATTTTAAATTTATTACTTGGTAATTATCGAAAATAAAATTCTAAACTAACCAACTTATTCTAAAGTTCTATCCTAATTTGATTGAAAATGAAATTTTTAACTAATTTTTTTTATCTTATAAAGTCTATCTAAATCTATCAAAGGCGGCACGACACTTGACGATTTTTATTTTATAAAGTCTATTAAAATATATATCTCTAAGGTGACGCGACACTTGACGCATATTTGAAAGCCCAAGTGTCGCAATTTCGTGACCTGACTAAAACTTTAGCTTTATATATTAGTTATATGATATGATGTTGCATGTTTCCCCAAAAAATAACTATACAATGTGTATAAGCATGTTTTGTTTTAGAATTAGTTAATAGGATAGATTAGATATGTATTTTAAAATTGTTAATTTTTTTAATTTTTGCTTATTAGTTGTATTTGTGCATTGACAAACACAACTAAAAAACGCACTTTGTATCAACTAAAAACACGAGGAAAATATATATATATATATATATATATATATATATATATATATATATATATATATATATATATATATATATATATAGTCACTAATCCTACAATGTAAAATAGGAAAAATTGACAAGAATAAATCTCAACTTTGCCTCATTTGCCCAAAATAATCTTAGCTTTCAATTATTTTCTAATAATCCGAACTTTATTATCAATTTTCTTTCAATGGTCCCAATCGGTCATTCCACTTGTTATATCAAGTAATCTTACACGTGTCAAGACGAGATTGGTCCAAAAAATTAAAAAAATAATTAAAAATTAAAATAAAAAATCCAATTAATCATCTAAAACGCACCACCACTCCCCGACAGATCCGACCACTCTCCGGCACCACGCTCCAGCGAATCTCCGGCCCCCTCCACCGTACCTGAAACGGCGACGCCATTCCCCTACCATCTGACACCTGTCGTCGTCCCAAACCCCAAAACCCTGATCCCCCCAAAATCCCTAAAAACCCTCCTCCACCGGTAAAATTCCCCAAATTCCACCTTTCTCACCCTCGGAACATTAGCGAAAAGGGGTTTTGAGGGTTGGGGGAGGGCCGACGACGGTTTAAGCGGTGGGAAAGGGTTATTTTACAGGATTTTTGGGTAAAAGGAGGGGGTTTCATGGTAGGACTACGGTGGTTTAGGGGGATGGGCGACGGCGTGAGTGGCGCAGGGGAGTGGGCCTGGCGCTGTGGGGGTGACGGGTCGCCTAGGCTGGACGGTGGGTGAGAAATGGGCGGTGGATGAAGGTTGGGCGGTGGAGGGGGTCGGGGAGTTGGATGGCACTTCTAGTGTTGCTTCTTTTTAAATTAGGTTTTTTTTTTTTTTTTTTTTTTTTTTTTTTTTTTTTTTTTTTTTTAATGTACAGGTAAAAGTATGAGATAAGATTAATTAGTAATTAAATAAAATTTAAACTTATTTTGACCAATCATGTAGCGACACATGTACATTATATAAACTTTTTTTAAAAAAAAAATTATCGATTTAACACGTTACAGGTTACTCAAGACCATTGAAAGCAAATTGATATTAAAGTTTGGATTTTTAAAAAATAATCGAAAGTTGAAATTATTGTAGGCAAATGAGGCAAATTTGGGATTATTCTTATCAATTTTTCATATAAAATATATAATTTTTGTTTTTTATACCTTTGGTTTTATTTTATCCATTCACACCTTATCAGCTTATCTTCTTCTCTTTGACATACTCCCTCCGTTACATATTACTCGCAACAAAAGAATATTTTATATCTCACAAATAATACTTTAATTTTGTTGCAAGTAATATATAACAGAGGGAGTATTTATTTTCAAGAAAGAGAAAGGTGCAAAGATAGGTTTTACGTGAAGTAACGATGAGGTACGAGTGGATGAAGTTTGGTAAATATGATCTCTTTGGGATTGGAGAGTCCATGTATAAATGATTAATGGAAGACTCTTATCCTATCATTCTATGAACTATGGTCTTTCCTAGTGTGGGTCTTGCATAATTGAAAGTGTGAAAATTAAGTCTTAGTGGATTCCATGTATAAATGATTAATGGAAGACTCTTATCCTATCATTCTATGTTCTATGAACTATGGTCTTTCCTAGTGTGAGTCTTGCATAATTGAAAGTGTGAAAATTGTGTCTTAGAATTTTTAGCATGGATTCCAATCATTCCATGTATAAATGATTAATGGAAGGCTCTTATCCTATCATTCTATGAACTATGGTCTTTCCTAGTGTGGGTCTTGCATAATTGAAAGTGTGAAAATTAAGTCTTAGAATTTTCAGCATGGATTCCATGTATAAATGATTAATGGAAGACTCTTATCCTATCATTTTATGAACTATGGTCTTTTCTAGTGTGGGTCTTGCATAATTGAAAGTGTGAAAATTGAGTCTTAGAATTTTCAGCATGGATGATGGAAGATGCACGTGGATGACGGAAGTTCGAAAACGTATGCAGATGACGTTTTTTTTTTTTTTGGTTGAAAAAACAAGTGGATGATAAGAATCTCACTCTCAACAATCCCAGCCTAGGCCACCCTCTCCAATAGTAAGACTTGAGTAAGTATTTTTAAGAGAGAGAAAGTATTTTTTGTAAAGCATACCAATCAGTTGGTTTCTGAATTTAGCAACTCCAAAAGAAAGTTGCTAAGTTTAGATACTCAACTTTGAGTCTCATTTGACAAAAAGTGTGGCCTCTTGTCAATATTATAATATGTTTTGTAATTTATTTAAGTTTTAATTTTATTTCTTTTCTAAATAAAATTTAAAATATGATTTGATGGGCCATAATTGAAAGTGACATTAATATACTTTAGAAAATCTCACCATTGAGAAATTAATTTTGTACTTCAATACTCAAAATTGAGTCTCACCATTGGACATGGTCTTATTAGTGTTAGCTATTTGGGTTTTTAGAAATTCTCCAAAAAGACAGTTGTACATTAATTTATGTACAAACAGGTTTAAGACCCTGTTCTTTTGATCTTCTGGGTAGGGCAGAGCAGTGCAGAGCTGGGGTCAGCAAAGCAGAGCAAATTAAATTTAAGTAGAGCAGAGCATAGCAGATTTCAGGATAGCAGAGCCGTGCCGTGCCGTGCCGAGGAGAGCAGATTTCAACATTATTATTAATACTATTATTATTATTATTATTATTATTATTATTTCTTTTATATATTAATATATATATATATATATATATATATATATATATTTGTAAAATTCGGACTATTTGGACTGGATTGGACTTTTTGGACTTAAAAAATTTGAGTCCAAATCCAATCCAAAAATCCGAATTTTAAAATTTTTGAGTCCAAATCCAATCCAAATTAAAAAAAAGTCCAATCCGAATAGCTTATTTGAACTGGATTGGATTGGATTAGAGTCCGAATAATGGACACCCTTACATATAGTTGATTAGAGGGAGCATTATTTAACGTCTCTTTCACGACTCTATTTCAATGTAAGATACAGCAACGAGTCACGACTATATGTCTACATCTAATTATAAGTAAAAATACAATGGTTAATCCTATAAATAAACTTCATACAGTATGATAATTTCAATGCAAAAATGTGTTCTTTATGTCCCTAATTGTTTCCCTAAATTATTTGTTAATCCTATAAATACCACGGGCAGCCCAGGACTTAAGAGTAATTTCCCGCGGTATGGCGATAGTACGTAGAACCGTAGTCACTAGTGAGTATTCTCATAAGTTAGTTTCTGTGACTTCACAATGCTGCTTCGATCTCAATATCTCGTAACCATTGCATACCATTTCTACAGAATCATTATAACAATATTATATATGCAGATAAATATGGCCAGTCACTTCAAAATTGGTTGATAATGAACAATGTGTATAAAATACCTCGATCTCAATCAACATTCAGAAATTATTCTCTTTTCAAACATGAATTATTGAATTGTAACCGACATCACTAGCCAATCAGTAAGGTATCTAGCTAGGCATCTAGCTCACACAAAAAAGAATAGAACATTCAACGACATTATGATATTTCACCCACATTCTACATATTACGTAGAAAAGTTCACCAAATTTGTAGTATGACAAACTACCATATTATGATATCCATAGGGCTTCGTTGATTTTGACATAGGAACCCGCAGTCAAATAAATAGTAAGAGTAAAGGTATATACAACTTGATTGATTTTTCTTAGAAACACGATAGAATATCAATTAGAGACTAAAATTCTAAATCCATCACAGAGTAATGTTGCGAAGCACATTTTAAGAATAAAGGGGAATTTTGGACAGTTATAGATCATAAAAAGCAATCTTGAGTCTCTTGGTTCAATCTGAAAATGTGACATATCTACACCATTTCCCACTAAAAATTCAATGTCAGAAATTGCACAAAACCAACAATGATATATTAATTTTTTGTGTGCATGCAGCTGGACTGTCCATTGTTCAAATGCATGTATATAATTAGCCATAATTCACATTAATACAAGTTAAAACTGTTGTGTAAATGACAGAGAAAGAACAAACATTGAGAGCTTCTTAACCTGCATGTTTTCGTTAATGTTAAATTTCTACTCGTACAGTATGGGAAGAGTTACACCCCGTAATGTTGAGATGAATGTAGCAGAAGTGGCCACAAAATCTGAGTCAATGTAAATACATGAAAACCAAATTCAAGTGAAAGTACATGTTCTTTGGAATTATATAAGCTCAAAGGTTTTGAGCATATAGGAGCATCTCTGGGTTGAGGCACTGCAATATTTAAGTTGCTGCAATCAATTTTTTAAGGAAGAGAAGCCTGCATTTCTAGATAATAAGTAGTAACATATATTTACCTACATCGCGCATCTCCAACCAATCTCTTAAGAATAATTATTATAATCACAACAGCAACCTGCAGCAGAAAAGTGTCATTTTTCCTCCGGTTCTAAAGGCTTCATTCCATATTACAAATGGAATACCATTGCATCAAGAAACTACTACAACACAATGTTTCTGCAAAGGCTCACAATAATAAAAATCACTAAATACTCTCTTACACAGAGAGAGAACAAATAGATACGTAGGAACTTATTATGGTGCATATGATTTGCATGGTTCCCTCATCATATTCAATGATTGAACAATATATTCAAAGTCATTTGATTATGTGTGTATGTGTTTTTCAGTAAGGTTGGAAATTGTTTCAGGCTTAAAATATAAGGAAAATATAAAGCTATTGATTGTTGATAAATTTTTTAACGGGAATACCTTCAGACTGGCCCATCTTCTCGCTATTCCAATGTATACTTCAACCAATGCCAAACCAGACAATCAGTCAAGTCTACAGACCACTCACCTGTCGGATTGAGCAACACTCAACATTAACTAGCCAAGGAATCTCTCTGAAATATCGCAAGAAAGGAGTTATCCATTTATACAATAAAGAAGACCGTATTTTTCAAGTCAATATCCTCAATTTATGTATTTTCTTTTTCTCCTTTTTCTTAAGGGTAAAAAGGATTACACACCGACATAATCCCAAGGTTTTTCTTCGAGCTATAAAATCTGTGATCATCTAAGCACATCTCCATCTAACCATTTTGGGAGCTGCAACAAAACTAGAAAAGGACATGCACACAATATAATCTTCAGCTGAAGTCACAAATTTGATAAAGCAGCTTAATGTGAGAAAGCAAGGGTTTCCTAGCAAGATTATCACTAGACTTCAAATTTTAATGCAGAAAAAAAAAAATTCAGTTTGATAGATGCATCAGATACCAAATGGAATGGCCCATGTAATCTTCTCGGTTAATTTTAAATTTAACTTCCTGAATATAATCTTTCATTTCGATAATCATACTAAATTTAATAAATTAATTATCAAAATTAAAAATGTAAAATTAAAATAATTAATTTTCGAAATAATAAAGCTGAATTTTATCAAAAAATCTAAAATCAAGTTAGACCTACAAAAAACAAATGAAAAATCAGCCAATTAAATTGAATAGTGATAGTCATTTTAAAGATTACAATTTTCATACCTTTACAGCTTGACTCCTTGAGTACTATGCTTATCTTGGTTGAATCTCTTAATCTCGAATACGTAGTTTTGGGATGTGGCATATATTGGGCCAGTATTCCCCGTTTGATTTCCGGCATCTATACGTGAGCTCAGGGTTAGGCTCTAGGATTTCAAGTTTAGTGAGGTTGGTGAGGTGTTTTATTGCTTTTGGCAGTGATTTCAGTTCACGGCAATATTCTAGTTCAAGTGTAGTGAGGGAGGTGAGGTAACACATTTCTTCAGGCAATGATTTCAGTTTGCGGCAGAACTGATTTTGAAGAAATTGCAGAGATGTAAGGGAGGCGATGCATTTGCCAAGTTCCTCCAAGTTTTTACAACTGCAAAGATAGAGGGATTGAAGGGAGGTTAAGTATTGAACCCCCTTGGGCAGCATTCCGGCTTTGAAATATTCTATTTTCAATGAAGGAAGAGAGTGAAGAGATTCCCATGGAATCCCGTCTAAATTGCCTCCCAACTTGAGGGATTTTAGGTTGGTGAGATGCTCTAATCCCAGGTTCTGTATTCCCCTGCAGTAACTAATTTTGAGGTCTTGAAGAGAAGAGGCACAGCTTTGTAATACCTCCCTAATTTGTCCCAAATTTTCTATTTTAACTAATTCAATATAACGAGCTATTCCCACATACTCCATACTTAAGAAATTGAAAATGAATGCATCATCTATAGTAAAGCGCTTTAAATAAATCGGTTTGCTTTGAACTCCACCTCCATTCATACATAATTTCAGTGCTTCATGTTGACATGGAGGAAAGTACGCCAGTCTCTTGCACTCTTGAATAGTCAATTTACGGAGATGAGGAAATGATGGAATGAAAACAGCTTCCTTGTCCGTCCATCTTATATCTCTCCACCATCCCATTAACTTTGGCATTCCACTTAGAGTTAATACCTCAAGAGACGGGAAGAATTTTGCAGATGGGGATGGTGCATCGCTCTCTATGTACTCCACATTGTCTAAGTTATAAATGAAAAGTTTTCTAAGATGGCAAAGTTGACTCAGTGATGATGGCAGATATTGCAACTCATGACAATTTGACATGTAGATACGTACAAGCCCTGACGCCCAAGTTGGCAATTGGTGCTTAAAGAACAGGGCCTCCAGCAGTGTCTCTTGACCTTCTTCATGATAAGACTCAAGTTCACAAAATAATTTAAAAGTTTGAAGCTGGACCCTCACTTGTTTGTGGTATGGCACATCGTTATAGTTAGCAATATGTTTAACATGAAGCTCACCTCTGAGTTTACTAATAAGAGCTTTCAAGTCTACGAGCTTGCCCTTTTTATCTTGCTTGACTTCATCATCCCTAAAAACTAGAAAGTTTGTCAGAGTCTGAAGACATGTTAATGTACCCTAAGATTAACAAAACTTTATATCCAACACCCTAAGATTTACCAGTTTGCTTGTGTCCTTAGGCAACTCCTTCAGATTCTCACAACTAAACAAAATTAATGTTTGCAAATTGTAAAGCTTGGTGATCGATTTAGGAAGCATCACCAAATCATTATTAAAAGACAGATCAAGGTACCTCAAATGTAATAAGCTACCTAGTGTATCAGGTAATAAAGTGTTGCTAGTCAACTGATACTGCAAATCCAACACCCTTAACTGGCTACACTTTGAAATAACTGCATTCACATCTATAAGAATATCATAATTTATCAAACAGCTACGCAGTGCTTTACTTGGACTATTACTTTAACTTAACAAGTTATCTAGATATTCTTTTCTATCATCAATATACAGATGACGAACTTTTCCTTCAACTTCATGTGTATTAGAAGCAGTCAATGTCAAGGACTCCTTCCCAGCTATCTTTTGAGCAAGGTCATGCATGAGATCATGCATTTTGAATGTTGTAACTCCCCTACATTCATAACACAAATCTTGGAAAACACATCGATGCAATAAAATTGAAAAATATCTTTCACCTACATCTTCAATGCTATCTTCTGTACCACTTGGAACAAGATAGCCGTGTGCTGACCATAGACTAATCAACTTCTCTTTATGTATTCTATAATCCTGAGGGAAGACTGAGCAAAAGCTGAAACAACATCTTACCGCGGGATCAAGATGATAGTAACTAAACATCAAGGTTTGCATCAAGACATCATCGTCGCCACGCATATTAGCCAAATCCATTCTTCTATATGACTGCCAAGCAGTTAAATCTTGATCACGCAACAAACTAGCTACCACCCTTATGCAAAGAGGCACATTTGCACATTTTATCACAATATCTTTGCCGATTTCAGCTAGGCCAGTTACGACTTCATCTTCCCTATCTGCAAGAGATATTTTCTTAAACAATTCCCAAGAATCCTCTTCAGAGAGACCTTCTAACTCATGTATTGGATAGTTTCCAATAGCTCTTGCCACCTTTTTGGAGCGGCTAGTCACCAAAATCCTACTTCCTGTCCCACCTAATATCAAGAAATCTTTCAACTTAACCCATATTTCACTGTTCTCAGACCATACATCATCCAAAACAAGCAAGTACCTTTTCCCTTCTATCCGTTCTCGAAAGTTTTTGTGCATGTCTTCAAAGCCTAACCCATTATTCTCCTTAAGTATCTTACCTAGGATATCTTTTGTATCAAAGTTTACAGACACACAAACCCAGTACATATTTTCTTCAAATGCTTCTTTTATCCTAAGATCACTAAACACAAGTTGAGCAAGAGCGGTTTTCCCCAACCCTCCAATCCCCACAATAGTCACAAAAGAAATATTTGTCTCCAAGTCATCTTTCAACAACAAATCCACAATGACCTTCTTGTCAACATATCTCCCAATAATATTCTGTTCATACACATAAGAACAGGTTTCCTTTTTAACCTTCACATCAGGCTTATACAGGTCACTAAACCCAAAATTACTATGGTTTTTGGCTAAGCTATCCAACTTCTCCCTAAGTTTCTTAACCTCTGAAGACGTATTAAAAGCAAATATCATTTGGTTCTTAGGGGAGAAGAAACGGCGTACCTTCTTAGAGATTTTATTTGCGCCAGGCATGTTAGCGATTGTGTTAAACTCATCCATCAAATCATCAGCATCATAGACAGCATCCTTGAGGTTCTCAACCCAGTTTTGCCCTTCATTAGTGAGCTCTAGGCACTTGGAGTCGGCATCCAGGAGGAAAGTCTTGATGGTTTTGACAGTGTCGAGCAACTTCATGTCCATACAATATTCTGCGCTACATTCACATGCAGTTGAATTAAAAATTTCTTAAAATAGTACTCATATCAGCTTAACAAATACTCTACTTAATTAGAGTTGTCCTTTGTTCTTATTTTAATGTCCTATTAAGTTTGTCGCATTCTAAAAATGGCGTAAGTGGCCACTAATTTAGTCGTGTATACACTAGTTGCTTCAAAAATGAATTCAAGCCCACATAGAATGAATCAATTCTCCATGTTCAAAGCAAGTATTCACACTTGTATCTCTAACTATGGAAAATATTCAATTATCTCACAGTAAATTTCTTTCATACACTACTCAACAAGATCCATATTTTAAGGTAAATTTTTTAAATCACAGTAAATAATATCACTGCACAATTCATGTATGTATTCAACAAGATCCAGAATAGAAATATTAATCAATGCAAAGTCATTGAAAACAATCAATTAGTAAACGCAAAGTAATTAAATAAACAATCAATTAGTTATACTGCAAAGTAAAGTATTTGAAAAAAAAAACCCATAAATTTACAAATAAGTGAAGCAAAACAATGAATAATTAGGAGTACAAATTAAATGAAACTATTCAAAAAAAAAAAAAAGAAACTATAAGAGATCAAAATAAAAATTAAAAAAAAAAAAACATACTTTGGCATTTGAATGTAATTGAGCTCGAGATTCCAGTACTTGCATCACTTGCATGTGTTTAGATGAAGCGAAATTTGATTCATAGACCTTGCAAAAGATGAGAAGCCGATTATAGATAAGAAATTAATTAGCACAAATACACTTGGCCTCACCATCCGAATTAATTTTTTGGGTTGTGCAGCGCTCATTTATTATTATTATTATTATTTTTTTTTTATTACTGTATTTTTATTTTTTTAATAGAGTGATAACTTCATAATAAATGGCAAACTGGATTAGATCTTGTGCAATCCACGGTTTAACAAAATTATTATGAATTATCATAAAAATGGAAGCAGAATCTGTCGTGTCACGGCAAACTGTGCCGCGGCACGGGAAATATTGTCGCGCAACGGCATATTATCCTGTGAAACGGTGCATATACCGTGACACGAGACTGCTGCGTGTTTTCTCTGCGTAATCCCTAAACGCGTTTGTAGACACTCATTTGTGTCTCCCCAAAACCAAACCCAGTGATGAATACCTTTCGCGTCGAATCACAATCGAATGAAGAAAGTGTGGAAAGTTTAGTGTTGCGGATAGTTTTAATTTCTTTTCTCTTCTCTCTGTTTTTGAAAACTTATTTTGAGAAAACAGCTAATCCAGTTTGGTTGGTCCATGATATGGGTCCAATAGTAGTGTAGTTGGACGGGGCTTGACAAGAGCTTTCCAGCGATATATTATAAGCCTAATTCCGATGAATATCGAGGAAGTTATGGCCAATGTACTAAACTGAGCCCGGTTTGAACCTTATATGCGGCCCAATGATCTAGAGAAGGGCCTTATATAGATTTATCATTCCTAATGCAATTAGGAATGGTTTTAGTGTTCTAGATTCTTCTAGAAGGTTCTTCTCATTCCTAATTCAATTAGCATTGATAAATTGACTTTTGTTGACTTTTTAGAGTTTTAATTAAAATCAAATAGCATTTTCGAGGAAAATATATGATTTTATCCTCCAGTACGGAAAATTTATCTGATTTTCAAAAACGCGTTAAAAACAGGCTTGGCGCCTAGCGCCTGGCGCCAGCCATTGGCGCCTAGCGCTAGTTAGCCAGGGTTGGCACCAGCTCTGTTTTTCGTGCGCCAGACTCTGTTTTGTTTATTTTATCTTTTTGGCTGATTTTCTCTATAAATAACGTATTAAAAACTCCGTTTTCATTCACCAGTTCTCATCAACAGTCAGTTTTAATTAACATTCACCTACAATCAGTTTTCATTCAATTAATTCTCTCATTCTCTTCTTTAATCAATTCATCCTATCTCTCTCTTTTCTAAAATTGCTTTTTTACATACAAAATTCTGCATTCGCAAGATCTAGAAACACCTAGCCATATTCGAAGTTGCCTTCGCCCTAGACGTGAAAGGTTTAATTTCTGAGGGTTTGGTCCCAAATCTTTCTTTCAATTATTTAATTTAATTGTTTTGATTATTATTTTCCTTGAAGTTACTAACGTGTGTATTTTGTTATTAGAAAGAGGTATGAGGCATCAAAGTAAGTACTTTAATGGTTTTTATTGATGTTATGATGTTGAAATCATGTTTATATTGTTATTATGATATTCCTAGTATCATGTTTAGGGAAAAGGTTATAATATCAAATATGCTTATTATGATTCCTGCGATGCTTCCTATTTTCTTCCTAATATTCATGATTGTTAGTATCATGTTAGGGTTAAAGATTTGATTTTTATTGCTTAGTGACATGCTAGGGTTTATTATTAATCTTGTTAGTATCATGCCTAGGATCTTGCTATTATTATTATGTTTTAATATTAACATGAACATGATTATGATTATATAATGATGATTATGAATATTATTATTATTATTATTTTGATGATGATTATTTTATTTATGATGATATTATTATTATTATAATTATTATTCATGATATTGATTATTTATCATGTTGCTTGATATTTATTCTTTATTGCTTGATCACACCTTCTATGCATGTTTAAAGGGTTTGGTACTTGTAATCATGCTTAATAAGATAATTAATAATCTTGTTTAGGGTTAATTTGATTATAATTCAAGTGATCACCAATGATAGTTTATGTGTGCATTATATTCAACCAACATAGATAAACAGGTTTAGGGTTAATCCTATTGATTGCATGTTAGTCAAGAAGCGCACATGAATACGATCAGAATAAAGTAGATGCCTATTATTAGGGCAGGTTCAATCTCTTTAAGGTTGGATTTGTACCTTCATCCCCGAACCCTTATTTGGTTCAAGACCTTATGGAGTTGACGATCTCTTGGATCGTTAAGGGGTGTAACCTTCACCTCGTGAACGGTTTACAAGTTCCTAAAACTTGTTGGCGACTCTTTTGCTCTATCTTCTTCCCTTTTGGACGCCACCGTACTGAAGTGTATGATCACAGTGGGGTTCAAGCTAGGGGTATCACGCTTGAAATTATTCCCCACAACGTTTTATCTTCTGTAGCCTGTTTTTTGTCCCGCGTTACACCAAGTTGTCCCGTGTGATCACACTAATTTGCCCCGTGTCATGGCATATTTTGCCGTGTCGCGGCAGTAATTCTTAGGGTTTTTATCTTTTTAGAGTTCCTTGTGTTCCCTCTGTTCATTTTCCCTATAAATACCCCTTCATTTCTGTTGTTTGGGGCATCAATTAATTCTCTCTTCTCTCTTCTATGCTCTAGCCTAAACACTAGCCTACCTTATTCTTTCAAAATTCCTTCCTTAAGCACTCCATGGAGTCTGTACTTTATTAGAGGTTATGTCCTTAAACCAAGCGTGAAAGGTAGAATTGTTTGAGGGTTCGGCCCCTAATTAACTCTATTTAATTTAATTTAATTATTTTATTATTTATTTCGTTAGAGTTACTAAGTCATTTATTATTTTATAGTTGCAAGCAAGCAAAATCAAAGTAAGAAATCATATTCCTTTTATTTATATTATTTTTCTAACGATTTTATAATGTTGGATTATTGTTAAATTGCTTCCAATATTGATGTTGATTTTACTATATTTATTGATCAACATATTGCATGTTTAAAAGGAATATGTAATTGAAAATCAAGACTAATAAGATAATTTGGACGACCATTTTAGGTTCCTCTTTAATCTTGTTGTTTAATCAAGTGATCACGATATTTTAGAATTATGTGCTGCATTAATATTCAACCAATTTAGCATAATAATAGTTTGGAGCAAATTAAATCTTTGTTTGCATGCCTTTGAGATCGCAGGTCATTTTTCATTATAAGAATCGAGTAGAGGCCAATATGGGCGAATGTGACTCCATGACTCACTTTATACCGTCATCCCCGATCCTCCTTTCGTGGTTCCGAACCATATGGAATTAGTAATATCATGGATTATGAATGGGGTTAACCTTCACGGGTCAATCGTTGTTGCCTATCGTTGTCCCTTTATTTGTGGTTGCCTTTTATGATCCGTGAACGGTTTACAAGTTCCTTAAAAACTTGTTGGCGGCTCCCTACTTTATTTGTCTCTAATTGTATACGTCAATTCCCACTTCCTATGAGTGCCAAGCATATTCACTCATGCTTTTACGTAGGCGCACGTCAAACGACGTCTACAATTTGGCGACTCCACTAGGGAAGAATTTTTGGTTATTTATCGATTTGAGTGATCGAAATTTAATTAAGATAAGTGGATGAGACTTGAAAGATTCTTGAAAAGTATTCCTGTGATTAATTTTGCATTTTTTGCATATGTATAGACGTTTTAACGTCGTATTCAGGTCTATCTCGTACAAAAAATTGAATAACCTGATTACGAATGAAGGAAAAAAAGGCACCAACAAGCTTTTCTGACTGCCGCACCACGACATATATATCCGTGTCACGGCGCTATGCATCGTTACGCGGTGTTCATCATTGTGACACGGTACATTCTGCCGTGTCACGGTAGTCCTGAAATCTTTCCAGTGGCTTATTTTCTCTTCTCACAGTTAGCTTCCTTTGGTTTTTCTGAAAAAACGTGTGTGCTCTACATACGTCTTAGCCTCGGGGGATTTAAGCTCTTTTAATCCAAAAATGCTCATGGCAATAAGGGTTCATCCGAGTTATTAAATCCACCCAAACCATGGAGTTGAGTTTGATTTCATCATGAACTCGCGGAGCCGCCCGTTGCCATACACCCTCAAGGGAGGCTGCCTTGCTAATGCGTCCAAACTCTTAACCATGCTACCTTTGACACCCAAAACTTAACCATAGTTGAACATAGATCATGACCTTAGGTTGCGAACTTTTTTTTTTGTATCATCGTGACTAAGTGCTACGTGATTTATTTGGTACTAACCCCACATGTGTTTGTTCATTTTAGACTAACCTATGACCGAGGGTTTTTATTTCCACATAGTAGTTAGTACGGACTTAAAAATTGAATAAAACCTAGAAAATTCACAAAACCAGACTTAGACCTGTGCACTGTGTCACGGCAGCTCTACTGCACCACGGTGTGCAGTGCCGTGACACGACGCTTTGTACCGTCTGACAGTGCACTGCACCATGTCACGACAGTCAGCACCGTAACTTGTTGCCCAGGAAACTGGTCCGGTAAGTCTTCTTTTGGTCTTTGTGCGTGCTTATGTGGTTCGTATGTTTGGTTTGATGTCATGTCTAGCTGTACGGTCATAACACGCGTCCATAATCTCACTTAATTACTCACAAAGTCATGTCGAGTTCACACACTTTCCCTTGAGTCGTGCACCTTTTTTACCGTACTTTAGGATGGTCTTGTGTCGTTTTTTTAGGAGTAAGTCGGATGGTATCCTCTTATACATACTTTTTTCTAAAAAAAATTTCGAATTGCTTTTTCTTTTCGGATGGGTGAAAGTTAAGTCTAGTCATTAAAGGTGTGTTTCTTTCAATGTCACAAAACTTGGTCAAGAAGTAGGGGTAGATTGTTACTGTTTGAGTCATTACCACAACAACCTCTTGTTTCTAAGAGGCGTTCAAGTAAACCACCACAATCATCTCCACAAATTCCATCTCCAGTTTACTTTCAACCAATGACTTCTAAGGAGGATATTGAGAACATTAACAAGTCCATCGAGACACTCTCTACCATGATGCAAGCGCTCACTACCAAAGTCACTACGATAGAGCAAAACAATGTCACTATGGCTGCAATGGACAAGATTAAAGAGCAAATGAGTAAGATCTCTGAAGAATTCATCTATGTGGAGCAACCT